AAAATAAAATAAAATAAAATAAAATAAAATAAAATAAAATAAAATAATTTGTAGAGATGGGGTCTTACTATGTGGTTCAGGCTGGTCTCAAACTTCTGGGCTCAAGCGATCTGCCTGCCTCAGCCTCCCAAAGGGCTGGGAGTGTAGGTGTGAGCTGCTGCACCCAGCATCTTCTAAACCTTAAATTTTTCTACATCACTACTCAGCTGAAAAATCTTTAATAGTATATTGTCTATAGCAGTGGCCAAACTTTAAGTGCACATAAAGATAACATGGTGGTGACTAAGCCCCAAAGCCACCTGCCACAGAAGATTGGAGACCTGGGAACTGTGTCTTTGAGTAGCAGCCTAAATAATGGTTGTAAACCATGTTGAAAAGGATTGGCCTATAGGGCCAAGTCCCAAATCCTAAGCAAAGCAAACACCTTTTCCAAATTTGGTCCCATACTTCTTGTCTAGTTCCTTTCTTTCCTATTCTTCTTATTTTTTTTTTTTTTGAGACGGAGTCTCGCTCTGTCGCCCAGGCTGGAGTGCAGTGGCGCGATCTCAGCTCACTGCAAGCTCCACCTCCCGGGTTCACGCCATTCTCCTGCCTCAGCCTCCCGAGTGGCTGGGACTACAGGCGCCCGCCACCTCGCCTGGCTAGTTTTTTGTATTTTTTAGTAGAGACGGGGTTTCACCATGTTAGCCAGGATGGTCTCGATCTCCTGACCTCATGATCTGCCTGTCTCAGCCTCCCAAAGTGCTGGGATTACAGGCTTGAGCCACCGTGCCCAGCCTTCCTTTTCTATTCTAAGACAGTGTGTGTGTGTGTCTGTATGTTTCAACAAGCTCTAACTAATTATTCAAACTAACTGCCTTTCCCCCAAATGCTATGTTCTTCTAGGTATTACTGCCCCTTGCACATGAGGCTCCTGCTGCTTAGAAGGCACTTTTAATCTGGTGTGCTCAGAAAATTCTGACTCATTCTTCAAGACTCAAATGACACTGCTAGTGTGAAGGCTCAGCCGATTACCCAAACTCTGTTAAACATTTCTATACATTTATCACACTATCTGCTGGGAATTCTGCTATCACCTCCTCCTCACCTCAACCCACCCCTCTGCCACCAACTCCAAGAGGCTGCAGAGAGAGAGATGGCATTTTCTCCATCTGTGCACGATGAAGACATTACCTAACATGCTACAGATATTTGATAACCATGGGTGACTGTCAGCCTGATACCAAGGGATACTGTAAAATGTGTGTATGCTCCAAGACTTAGGAAGACACTGCTGTTGTAGAGTGCCGGGAAAGTCAGAAATGGCTCTGTCTAAAGGATAAAGCAGTACCTGGGGCTTGAAGGATGACTGGAACTTAGAGAGAGGGAAAGAAGAGGAGAGGCTGGCACCTCTCCTCCACCAAGTAGCTACTTGGAGGCTGAGGAGGGACGATTGCTCGAGCCCAAGAGTTCGAGATTGCCATGAGCTATGGACCACACCACTGCACTCCAGCCTGGGTGACAGAGTGAGACTGTATCTCCAAAAAAGAAAAATAAATAAAAACACCAAAACAAACAACAAAAACTGAACCTTTACAGCCTGCTGGTTGGATCTAATAAGCGCTCCCATCTTCTTTTACAGAATGAAATGGACTCAAAACTTTGTATATTAAAATAACATTCTAAGGAGGGACTAATGCTACACATTGAATCCTTGCATAAGCTTATCAGCTATTACTCTGTCCTCACGTCTGCTTTCTCACAAAGGGGAACGGGGAAAGTGTGTGGTAGACTAACACAAATCTCTTACCTTTACCCACAAAACAAAACACCATCTCTTTGCACATCTCCTACTAAGGGACAGACCTAACTGGTTCCCATGGTATCCAATGGACTATGTCCTACACGGAACTGCTCATGAATAAGAGTTAAGTCCAGGAGTCTCTGCTACGTCATTAGTTCTAAAACTCCCCTTAGAGCACCTAATTGCTATGTTGGCATGCAGCTCCTCAACATTTTCAGAATAATCCAGAATCTGGCAATTCTCTCGTTTTCTTTTTTTTTTTTTTTTTTGAAATGGAGTCTCACCCTATCACCCAGGCTGGAGTGCAGTGGCGTAATCTCAGTTCACCGTAACCTCTGCCTCCTAGGTACAAGCGGTTCTACTGTCTCAGCCTCCCGAGTAGCCGGGATTAGAGGCGTGCAACACCATACCCAGCTAATTTTTGTTTTGTTCTTTACGCCTGGCTAATTTGTGTTTTTTGGTAGAAACAGGGTTTCGCCATGTTGGCCAGGCTCATCTCAAACTCCTGGCCTCAAGTGATCTGCCCACCTTGGCCTCCCAAAGTGATGGGATTACAGGCATGAGCACTGTGCCAGGCCGAATTCTCTTTTTATCTGTGGGTAAATCCTTGAGGGCAACCAGCCTCTGAACAATGACACATCAGAACTTACTAATAGTAGTTTTAATTATATGCAGTTTCAAAATATATAGTTAGAAAAATAGGAGATCTAAAAGGAATAGAATCATAAGCTTTTCATGCAAAAATACCAACTTTGTTGGTATGCATGATGCAATAAAAAATGAGATTTGATATTTTGTTCTAAAAGTCTTGATCTTTGGCAGCCAGATATTTTATATTTTACTCTACTTGATCTTAGTCAAAAGGTCAAGAAAATATGGCTTTTTCCTATTTTATGCTACTATTATTCTTTTATGCCCACAAAAATCAGTTAACAACTGGTAACTACCTGAAATGGTCTTTAATTTTGAATCATAGGAACACAAAATTGCTTACCTGGGGGGAAATAAACTGGGGAGGCACTTGCGCCCGGAGACTGGGAGAAGAATTTAGTGGCTGCACTGGTGTGTGCAGACCTCTCGATTGTGCTGTGCTGTTTCCAAACAAACCATGACTACCGCCCTGTAAACAGAAGAGCAGCAGTAAGGCTTTTTGTTAACATAAGAAAATGCAAGTAAGAAACAGTTCTGGTCTTTTAGATCCCTCAGAAGAATCACAGGCTGTGTTCCATGGAGTTACAGAATTTCATAACTGAGAAGTTCCTTATCTTAGAAGGCTTAGGGCAATTACTCAAATTGAATCATGAGCACCTGTACAGTTTGACGAACTCTATAAACGGAAAGGGTTCAATTCTGTCAAATATTAGGAAAAGTCCTACATTCTTTTTTGTGAATGAAAGCTACAGACAACATAACATTTATTTCAAGTACTCTTCTTTGCGACTGGGTTTACCAAATTTATTCTCAAGCTTTGTAATCTGAGCTCCATCTTGAAAGGCACCTGAGTAAAAATGCAGCTTTATGAACAGTTATCAGTTGTATTTATAAAACATTATGATGTGATTTCTCTGCCGTCCCAGAGTGAGCCTAGCACCCTTCCTTGTCCTGGATCTGCTCAATCCTTTCTTTGATAGATAAGGAAATGTGACTCAATTACACAATGAGATAAAAAAGGAAGAAAGGGAGAGAGTAAAAACCATTACAGGGACACCAAAATAAACATTACTCACCTGTAACTTCTCATTCAAACACATATCGGTCTAGTTAAAAATAAGCTGAACTCCCTCCTTTCTGGAGGCCCAACTCACTGGAGCACTTCTACACTATTCCGATGAGATAACTAAGAGAGTTGGGTTATATGGTGGCCTTTCCTTTCTGACTCGTTTCTAGCTGAGAAAAGTCCTTCAGCGAAGAAACCGTATTTGGTAATAACACAACACTGTGTTCCCTCTGCCTGATACCATTTTCACTTGACCTCTTCAAGGCCCAGCTTGGAGGTCATCCTCATCAAGGAAGTCTTCCCCAAAATCATCTTCCTGATTTCACGTTCAGATTAATTGAGCCCACCTCTCCAATCTCAAAATGCTTTAAAACTTTTTTTTGGGCACTCATCATCAAACCACACTACAGTTATTTTCCATTCTGTCTTTCTACTGTCAGCTTTAATCTTTCCCTCTTCGTATTCCCAGAACTCAATAAAGCCCCAGTCTGTAGGATGAATATATAATCTGTAAATATTCATGACCCACCAATTCCACACACTGGAAAATATCCCACTGAACACCTTCAGCAAAGACAGCTGCATTACTGCTTATACTGAATACGTATACCCTGAATTGAAATCACCACCATTATCATATCCCTGGAATCACAGGGATTAAGGTAATTTTAAAGAATTTTGTAATGGCATCATTAAAACCTAGAACACTAAAAATACTGTGATGGCTTAATGATTAAAAAATAGAGTAAGGGACTGCTGCAGGGAAATTAGTGAACTTAAAAGCATTGAAAATAAAAATGATTCTAAACATAAAGTCAAAATGGCAATTAAAATCTGTGTATCTCGTAAAAGTAAATCAAAGATCCATCATGAATTTTATGTCTCCCAAAAGGTTGTTTAAACACGAGAAGACCTTTAATTCCAGAAACTCTAACATCCCTACTGCTCCTTTCTTACCAACTGCCACTCGAAAGTGACATGGCTCAGCCCTAACTTTGCTCGGATTGTGGCAGTCAGTAGCTTTGCTACCCTGATCATCCCTAAGAAAACAGGAAACATTTATTTCACCAAGGATATTCTGCTAAGATCTTTCTCACTTTATCATCAAAGTAATGACTTAGTTATTAGATGTCAATTATTCACAACTGGTCCTTGGATGGTGGGGTTACTGGGAGCTAAAGACCCTGCCAGAATCCATTTTCTGGCAAATACAAAATTGCTTCCTGACGGTTGTTTTAAATTTCAACCTCTCCTTTAATAACAAATATTGAAAAGAATTTGCTTTTTAGGCTTCTGTAAAATCAATTCCTACTTCCGTCTTCCCAGTAGACAATTTCCACCCTCTTCCACCATAGGTTTTAGGCTTTTCATTATCACGTGACCCTACAGTCACACAAAGCACTATCTCTGGAATGGATAATAATAAAGGTAAGTCCACAGTAGTTGATCAAAAAATGCCTTGTCTAACTTAATATGGAACCTGGGCATCACAAGCACTCATTTTCTTGGCTCCAATAGAGCTATTTTTGCACAGTGATGTATTCAGGGGCAATCATAAAGATTTGGTCTTTAAGAAACGTATATAGGCCAGGTACAGTGATTCACACCTGTAATCCTAGCATTTTGAGAGGCTGAGGCTAGGAGTTCGAGACCAACCTGGGCAACATAAGCAAGACCCCATCTCTAAAAAATAAACGGGAGAAAAAAGGCACCTGAGTATGTGCTAATGCAGGTTTCTGTGGCTATCACTAAAGCTCTACTGTTGTACCAGAGGCTTTTACAATTACCTGAGTCTCGTGATCTTTGCTTCAACTATACTGTTTAACTCAAAAAAGCATACAAATTAAAAACAAAATTACCAAGCTAACCAAAATCTGTGATTTGGAAAATTTAAATCTTAAATTTTATTAATACAAAGCATATTAAAATAATTCTGTAAGAAAATAGTCTTTAAAAACCATGTCCATATTTAGATGGAACATGTGCACAAACCAGGTTAACAATGGACTTTGTAGCAATCCACAGATCAAAAAAATGAAGAAGAATGACCTTTTTTTAGCGCCTAATGCTCAGCTGGTTTGGCTGGTCTACCATACTAGTTTAATAGCGTTTGATAATTGTGTGATCCACCACATTTACAATTACCATTAACTGAATGTTATGCCTATTTCATGTTTTCCATACTCAAAATAAAAGAAACCCCAAAACATCAATATAATCATTTCTTCCCTGTTTATATAAACAGTGTATATCCATGTCCTCTGTGGAAGCAGTAAGGAAAATGATGAAATATAAAGGAAGAAAAGGAAAAAATCATTTGTAACTCCCAATCCAGAAATAACCAACCGAACACATGGATATAGTATAATCCATTTTTTAAAATGTGCTAAGGCAATGATTAGAAAGCATGTAAGAGACCTACGTGCGACTTAACTGGTGTCAGAGGTGCTGCTTCACGTCATCCTGTAATGCGTATGTGGAAGTCATCACATGGAGACAGAACATCATTACGGATGCATCATGTGGATACAACTAATAATTACAAGTTGTATAATTAACGTCCTTCCACAATGTCCTGAGGTGAAGGTCACAGTGACAAGTAAGTGGTCACAGAAGTATGGCGATCACTGCTGGGGTTACTGTTGCAAAGGAATTGTGACGCCAAAGTCCTGGTTTTCTCCACAAAAACTACAACAGAGCCACTGTGGGAAGGCAGGCAGGGTCCTGCTGTGCACCCTCAGGCCTGGGAAGGTGAGGAGGCGGGATCCTCCCAGCCCTGCCTGTCTTGTTTCTACTGCACACCCCTTAACTGGAGGGTTGCCAAATCCAACCCAAGGTGCAATGAAACACTGCTGTGTCTGAGCAATACCCATTCTTCCCAATGCTTCACCGTCTACTATTTAAAGTTACCCTTCTACGGGTAATTATTATGTTTTACACTTACGGACAATAGATTTCAAGATGCCATAACCCACCAATACGTCATCATACTAGTTTTGCTATTTTTAAATTGGCAGGTTTATTAAATTGAAAAGATGTCCAAAGCATTACTTATACAATCTAATGTTTAAAATGGCAAATGCATTAAGTTAGATTGTCTAAGGTACTTATGCAGTAGCCTCTTTAACATTTTCCTTAGTTCTTAGTTTACTTATTAAATATGAACTTATGATCAAAAATAAGACAAAAAAAAAACAGGTTTAAAATAAAATCCATGTTGAAAAACATGAAGAGAGATGGGTTCTATGGGCTGAAAGATCTAGAACCTACACTTAATATCATTCTGTGCATTCAGTAATCAACAAATTTCCCAAGACAGACAAATGATGCAATAAACTGCAGACCAGGACCAAGGCGAGGCCACAGCCAAGCAGTTATAAATTTGAGAGGCCTCCTTACTTGTCTAGCAGCGAAGTTTTGGGGGTTGAGCCCTGTGCCGATTGCTCCAAGGCTGACGTTGGGTAGTGTGGAACCAGAGGGAGACAGCTTGTAGCTGGGAGAAGGGGAGAAGGGAGAGCAGGGAGCCTCATCCCCAAGGCACCCATCTTGATTGGAGAAAGGCAAAGTCAGCTGAAAAGTAGTAGGAGTTAGCCAATCACAACGAGTGTTGGTTAGTGAAGCAACAGAATGCAAGAAGGGAAAAGAGAGAAACACTAGCAATAAACAAAGTTAGAGTGTATTAGCAATAACCAAGGATGGAATTTGGATCTGATAATAATCTTTACACACGGCCCAACAGACACCATCTGTCATCTTCTTTGATATTGATTTTTCTTTTCCCCTAAGTTAGTAACACATTCTATCCATTGCATTAAGATAAAAATTGCCAGACACTTTGATTTTATGCATCTAATATTGATTACTCTAGCAATGTGGCTGCTGAAACAGAAGCCAGGCCAATCTTGTGAATATGCTGCTGTCTGGACCAGCAACAAGTGTCAAAACATGCCAGATTTAAGAATTTTGGTTTTAACTGCTTTCTGAAGACCAGGAACATAGTAAATTAGTATTCTGAATCAAGATATAATTCCCACCATTAGAAATGGTAAACATCAAAACCAATAGATAGAAACTGCTTGGTTAAATTAGGTAGTTGAGAATTTGAAAAGTATACCATTGTAACTAAACACAGATCGCTAGGGAACTGGGAAAAGATAACAACAGAGTTCTCTCAAAACTAGAAGAAGGCAAGGCCTTAGGAGACATGGAATATCTGCACAAAATCCCAAAATTTATTTTGTAGCTGCACAGCAGCAGAAAAAAGAATGCAGAGTAAGTTTCTCTCTAACATTTCCACACTTCATGAATTTCTCAAAACTCAGATTTTCTAATACATACATGCTAAAGACAGATGGTTCTTGCTCTTGCCCAATCACCTGTTGACATCAATCGTTTTCAGGTCACCACATTAATGCAGGTGATGTTTGTGTTTGGCTCATCTAGTTCAGTAATTCTATGCTTCCTCCAGAATCAGTTATCAAAAGACAAATGGGAACCAAAGCGGTTCTCATGAATTATTATCTTCAACAAAGGATTCAACTCACCTTCTCAAAATAAGGCCCACTATCTGTGGTTCCCATGTCTTTGGAATTAGGTGGACGGAACCCAGATCGATCCTTCCTCATGATATCATTAAAATCCCCGAGATTCATCGCTCGCTTGTCCACATCAAATTTTTTATCTGAAAGGCTTCCTGAAAAGTAGCATAAACAGAGTGAAAATTTCCAGAATCAATGCTTCCCCCATGAACCAAGAGTGACCTGCCCCACTATCCTCATGGGGGTGCCGGATATGAGCTATTAATATTTCTATTTCTGGGGATAAGATGAGACAAACTCTCATTGGTCCAGGCTGCTGGTGTTTATCCCTGGAACACATATGGGTCCTTTTTATTTATTTATTCATTTATTAAAAAACAAAACAAAACAAAACATATATCTGTTGTAGTTTGTTTTCCATGGAAGACTGAAAAAGCCTTAGGGATAACCTGGCAAAAATCTGGCTAAGAAAACATTTAGACTGGATATTGATGTGTTTGATGAACACATCTTGCTCATAAATTCAAATGTCCTCAGGGAGAGAAGTTGTCTGTTTTTGCTATTTTAACATCATCTAGATAAATGGTCTGGGTGAAACGTAGTTACAAGGAATAGAAAGATCAAAGAGGCACAGTGGTTGCCCTCAAATTCAGAACTTAAGAGCTGAACACAGAAGATAGGTCCACATTACCTACATGGTGCATTCCCAGGTGTCCTAACTATACATACCACTTCTCTTTCACTGCTCTATAAATGTGCTGTCGTCTGCTGACATAACCAGTGCCCCCCCGCCGAGGAAACATGTTTTAATTATTCTCATATTTAGAAATATAGACCAAAGACTACCTACTTCCTCTACTACCCAGAATTATTTTCATTTCTTCTTAGTTTGACTCTTTTTAAGTTCCTCAGGGTGATCAAGAGCATTACTACGAAAACCCCACAGACCGGTAGCTAACACTGCATCCACTCCAGTTGCAATGTGAGAATTTGTCAATAATGAAGCCTCCTGGTACAGACAGGACTGGCAACTTGAGGGCCACATCTGGCACACAATTTGTTTGGCCCCATAGAGCATTTTAAGAGACCCGAATTAGTTCTGATATTTAAAAATCAGGGCTGGGTGCAGTGGTTCACACCTGTAATCCCAGCACTTTGGGAAGGCGAGGAAGGCGGATCACTTGAGGTCAGGAGTTCGAGACCAGTCTGGCCAACATGGCAAAACCTCGTCTCTACTAAAAATATAAGAATTAGCTGTGTGTGGTGGCACACGCCTGTGATCCCAGCTACTCGGGAGACTGAGGTGGGAAAAATCGTTTGAACCCAGGAGGCAGGGGTTGCAGTGACCAGATATCATGCCACTGCACTCCAGCCAGGGTGACAGAGCAAGACTCCGTCTCAAAAAATACAAAAATCATAATACCAGTATACATTTGAATTTCTGGCCTCTCTTGAAAGACTTGTCATAGCTCAGCCTGGATTCCTCCAGAGCAGCAACTGCTAGGAGCCATGTAAGGCTGATTCTTCCAGGTGGACTCTCCACAGTTAACCCATGGTCACCTCGTCCCAGGGTTTTTTGTTTTGTTTTGTTTTGTTTTGTTTTTTGAGACTGAGTCTCACTCTGTTGCCAGGCTGGAGTGCAGTGGCACAATCTTGGCTCACTGCAACCCTCGCCTCCCGGTTCAAGCGATTCTCCTGCCTCAGCCTCCCAAGTAGCTGGGACTACAGGTGCGTGCCACCACGCCCAGCTAATTTTTGTATTTTTGGTAAAGACGGGGTTTCACCATGTAGGCCAGGATGGTCTCGATCTCTTGACCTCCTAATCCGCCCGCCTCAGCCGCACAAAGTGCTGGGATTACAGGCTTGAGCCACCATGCCTGGCCTCATCCCAGTTTCTTATACCTGGCACATATCACTCATTTACATTCTTTGCTGACTCCTGCAGTCATTTGAGTTTTCTATCCCTACCTAGTGTCTAGCACAGTACCTTACAAAGAGTAAGCGCTCAATCAATGTCTACTGAACTGCAGCCATCCCTACTCAAATTGGGCAGGAGATGCCAACAGGACATCATAACACTGATACACTCCATTCCTTTCAGCGGAGTGATACACACCTACAGACAAATCCATTTTGCTGCTTGGATTATCTTCAGTCTGACTCTGAAAATAAAGAACAGATGAGACAGAATTAAGGATGCACATCTTTGAATCAGAGAAGTGGCATTATTCACGTGAGAGCCACATCTTACTACTGGCATTACAGAAGGTTCTCTGAAATGAACCTAAAGGTAATGAAAACATTAACATTTTTAATATGCCAGCTTGATTGCTGTTTGGGCCTATATTCCTACAATTCAGTTTTCACATACCATTAGTCTCAATAAGTCTACAAAGAGAGTAATAGATAAACAGCTGCCTGAAGAAATAAACCCCCGTCCTTAAATTCTAGTCAGCTCAGGATCAAATTCCATGAATGGCAGCCAAATAATGACAACTTCTTCTCGTGACTTGTCAAGTCATCAAACCTTCAACTGTGCAGCCAAGTCAAGTCGTTTGTCTTTTGGCCAACCAGGGACAGGGTGTCCCTACACCATTCCCGAGAGATAAAGAAATCAGAAATTCTACAAGAATTCCTAAGTAAGTAGTCCCAGTATAGTTTTTCTAGTTTCGTTATTGTTGCCTTTTAAAAAAATTGCAATATGAAAACTAGTACAGTAATGTGGTCAGAAACAATTGTATAAATTTTAAGTGCCTGACTCTTTCTTCTCTATCCTCCTAAGGAAAAGGACACGATGACTACAAATTTAAAAGCCATAACTTTAAAGGTTGGGGTATGTCATTCAGAATAAGAATAAAAGAGAAATACTACTTAAACTCAAAAGATCAAGAACATTGCTTAACTAGTTTTTAAATCTGTAACTTTGTACTATATGTGGCAGTGGTCTTAAAATTTGTATTACTCTTAAACCTAAAAGTTGGGATACATGATACATTTGAAAAAAATAAAACTTACCAGCAATCCCATATTTGAAAACTGTTTGGCAAGAGGATTCATCCATGAATCATTGTTTCCTCCTTTGAGTGAGCACTACAGAAATGAAACACAGAACCTCAGAACCAAATAATTTATTTCAACCTTCTGAGTTTTATTAATACAGATTGAAAATGTAGACTTGAGTTTACCTTTTTAAAACCTATTTCTCTTTAACTAAAATTATGTTGATATTTTATGTTAGTTTAAATGATTAATAAGCCCTAGTTATATCTATGCTTTCATTTTTATAAAATTCACTGCACTGAACTAGAAGTAACTGGAAAAACACATGCTCAGCTGGTACTTTTGCTTTTGAAATAGAAAGAAGTCTGATATGATTTTCTAAAATAGAAGTTTTGCACACAACTACTTTCACTTTCATTAGGCTGCTCTCTTTGTTACCCAAACTGGTTTACGTTAGGAGAAAAGAGTTTGATGTCAGTGCGTGTCATTTGGAAAGGAGCCTATTTAAGTGGGCGTTATGAGGAACTCGTAGTGCTTCCTCTGTTTGTTTCACAGCATAAAGGACATGGGTCCTGGTGGTAAAGAGACCTAGTGGAAGACAACATTGCCGATCTCCTGGGCAGAGTAGGGCAGCAGTACGTTTTAATTTTTTAATGGGACAAACTAGTTTCTCCCCTGAACAAGGCACTGACCGAGCTCCACTTTCACTTTTGTGAGGGAGGCAGGTGGCACTACGAGGAGTTGGTGGGGTGGGGCTTTGTGCACTTGTGTATTTCACAGGTAAAAATTCTCCATGTTGTGATGATAGCTCTCTCTCTCTATATATATATATATTTTTTATTTTTTATTTTTTCTTTCTCTGCCACCCAGGCTGGAGAGCAGTGACGTCATCCCGGCTCACTGCAAGCTCCGCCTCCCGGGCTCAAGCCATTCTCCTGCCTCAGTCTCCTGAGTAGCTGGGACTACAGGCGCCTGCCACCACGCCCGGCTAATTTTTTTGTATTTTTAGTAGAGACGGGGTTTCAGTGTGTTAGCCAGGATGGTCTCCATCTCCTGACGTCGTGATCTGCCTGCCTTGGCCTCCCAAAGTGCTGGGATTACAGGCGTGTGTCACCGCGCCCGGCCCGTGATGATAGCTATCAAATCAATTTTATTATCCTTGAAAGTGATGAAGCACTTAAATTTAGTACAGGTTTTGTGTGTGTGTGTGTGTGTGTTTTGAGACTGACTTTCGCTTTTGTCACCCAGGCTGGAGTGCAATGGCATGATCTTGGCTCACTGCAACCTCTGCCTCCTGAGTTCAAGCAATTCTCCTGCCTCAGCCTCCCAAATAGCTGGGATTACAGGCACCTGCCGCCACACCCAGCTAATTTTTGTATTTTTAGGAGAGACGGGGTTTCACCATGTTGGTGAGGCTGGTCTTGAACTCTTGACCTCAGGTGATTCACCTGCCTCGGCCTCCCCAAAGTGCTGGGATTACAGGCGTGAGCCACCGCGGCCAGCTAGTACAGATTTTAAGGTCAAAAAAGCCTTTACTAGAGAGAGGGGGGAATGGGGATTTACTGTTTAATAGGTACAGAGTTTCAGTTTTGCAAGATGGAAAGAGTTCTGTGGATAGACGGTGGTAAATGGCAGCATAAGTGTGTGAATATACTTAATGCCACTAAACTGTACACTTAAAAATATACACTATGGTAAATTACATGCTATATGTATTTTATCACAATTTTTTAAAAAAATGCCCTCAGTATGAAAAGTCAGAATCACTGGTACTGGGGTTGGAAGATTCAATTCCCAATTAACTTAATTAATTAAATCTTGGTTGTCAACCTAGTGGGGTATTTATTAGTCCCTTTCAATCAGTTAATTTAGTCTCATTGTTAATTTGTAAACAACCAAAAGAAAGCCAAAATCACACTAGACAACCTAAGAGTGCAAGGAATGCTGAAAAGTTAGCTGAATAATTCCTTCTGTGACTAGGCTAAGGAAATAAAAGCTCTTAATGGAAGAAAAACCGTAAGTGACTGCTTAAGCAAAACATCTCTAAATAGAAACACACTGTATTCTTATTCTAGAAAAGAAAGAGTCGTCCACAAAATTAATGGCCTATAGGCAAAGGGCAAAGCGGGTGAAGGTCCAATCCTCAGACATGGGAAGGCCTCTAAGATGGCACCTGGTGTTCGAAACACAGGAGAATATTAGCTGTGAAGCATTTCATAGGGTGCCAAGACTCTCATGTTGAAATTAAGTATTGGATGCCCATTTCTTATTTCCACTATTTTATTTGTCAAATGAAAATCTGGAATTGAAAAAAGAGAGCATCTGCCAAGACACTGGTTCAGGCTCAAAGACTACTGTTCTAGATTGAAAACCAAAGTCCTCATCAAACTGTGCAAACCAAAGGAGAAACTGAGTTGTTATGAGATACACAAGGTATCTCATACAGAAGATGGAAAGTTTAGTAGACAACCTGGTATATGATGTAGAGAAATCATCTAGCTGCTAGGCTGGGCATGGTGGCTCATCCCTGTAATCCCACAAATTTGGGAGGGCGAGGTGGGCGGATCACAAGGTCAGGAGATCGAGACCATCCTGGCTAACACGGTGAAACCTCGTCTCTACTAAAAATACAAAAATTAGCCGGGCGTGGTGGCAGGCACCCGTAGTCCCAGCTACTGGGGAGGTTGAGGCAGGAGAATGGTGTGAACCTGGGAGGCGGAGCTTGCAGTGAGTTGAGATTGGACCACTGTATTCCAGCCTGGGCGACAGGGCAAGACTCTCTCAAAAAACAAAAGAGAAATCATTTAGCTGCTATATACACAAGTACACATTGGTACTTCATTTGTCGGGAGAAGGGTTTTGGGTCTTGGAATTTCCCAAATCAGATAAAATCAGGACGTGCTGATCGCCACGGGATAAGCTAGCATTATCTTCCTTTGGGTTCCCTCCGACACATCTATGGGGATTTACTGGAAGGACTTCTTTGGCTTTAGAATGCAAAAGCAATTTATAAAGTATGCCTTGAGAGCCTCCAACAGATTGTTATAATGTGGAAACTAAAAATGAAAAATATCTCATATCTTTGAAAACTTCATTTTACCCACAGCAACAGTTTTATAGTTCAAGGTTTCAAGGTCATGGGAAAGGAAGACGAAAGGTAAAAGGGAAGTAGTTATTTGTTTGCAAGAAAACATTTTTCCCCTTACTTAGGACCTTGAGGACCTCAGCTGCCTCACACCTTTCATTTAAAAATCCTCAGTTCTGGCTGGGCGCGGTGGCTCACGCCTGTAATCCCAGCACTTTGGGAGGCCAAGGCAGGTGGATCACGAAGTCAGGAGCTCGAGACCATCCTGGCTAACACAGTGGAACCACTAAAAACACAAAAAATAGCCAGGCGTGATGACGGGCACCTGTAGTCCCAGCTACTCGGGAGGCTGAGGCAGAATAGTGTGAACCCAGGAGGCAGAGGTTGCAGTGAGCCAAGATAACGCCACTGCACTCTAGCCTAGGCGACAGAGCGAGACTCCGTCTCAAAAAAAAAAAAAAAAAAATCCTCAGTTCTAGCTAGGCGTGGTAGCTCACGCCTGTAATCCCAGCACTTTGGGAGGACAAGGCAGGAGGACTGAGCTCAGGAGTTTGAGACCATCCTGGCGACATGGCGAAATCCTGCCTCTATGAAAAAATACAAAATGTAGCCAGGCATGGTGATAGTTCTGGCTACTAAAGAGGCTGAGGTGGGAGGATTGCTTGAGCCCAGGAGGTTGTACAGTGAGTCGTGACTGTGCCATTGCACTCCAGCCTGAGTGACAGAGTGAGAACTTGTCTCAAAACAAAAACAAACAAAACAAAACCTCAGTTCTGCCTTCTCAGAGTGAATGAGCAAGTGCCAACATTTGTAAAGCGGGCTACCTTCATCTGTTTCTTTCCTCCTTGTCCCCAGCTTGCTGAGTTGTGGGAGGAGGCACTGCCCTGAGAGCCAGCGGTGTTCCAGACTCCTCCATCCTCCTCCTCTTCCCAGCTGGGGTGACGAGTTCCTGTGACTGGCCCGTCACTCTCCCCCCAGCCGTCTTGCATAGATTTGGAATCTTTAAGGAAAGAATGAATTAACTCTTTGCAACAGCTATATAAAACAATCATCAGAATAGTAATTCCTTGCAGATGCAGCATTTTAGTGTCTTTGTAATTTTATCTACTCCATCTACAATGGCAAGGCAAATATTATTATTCATTTTGTAGAGAGCAGGAAACTAAAACCCATGAAGTTTCAATGATACACAGAAAGTTAACAAACCATAGAACCAAGACCTCCTGATTTCTGGATCAATGCTTTTTTCCTTGCACCAAGTTGGACAGGAATTTCAAAACTGAAAAGAACTTATCACAACATTCCTGGCAAGAAATTTCAAATCTCAATTAAGAGAAATCTGTTCCTCTTAATGAACATACTTTACTGCAGCCCTGGTTTTATCCTCCATTCAGTATGTACTTTATATACAATGGATACTATAAATACGAGGTATGATAAAGGACAACTGTCTAGCTTGCTTGGGGTGAAGCAGAGACGAATAGAACATGAAAAGGGGGAACATTTTTCATAAGATTTTGAATATCAGAATTATGGTGAATGAAGAAAAATTCACATATAGCCACGGAAATCTAAAATGTATTAGAATTATGTACTTGAAATGTATTAGATACTAAAGAGGCAAAGAGTATATACATAGTGGTTTTGAAAAGACAGGAGGAGAAAATGTGGAGGATAAGGAGAGGAAGGGAGAAAGGAAAGCAGAGAGAAATCCAAGAGGCTTTAATATTTGAGGAAGTGGGACATCAGTATCCCATTCTAAACAAAGATCTTTAATTTGAAGACTGGAATAAGTCCTTAATTCCCTCCGAAAATACTGTGCAGAATCAAAACATACCTTGCAGTAATAATACTCTATAAAATGATAAAGAAAAGGAAACATATTCTCCTGCCTGGAAACTTCCATCTGCACCTCTGCTTTCCCACATGACAGGACATTTATGAAAGTCTTCTGGTGTGTACATAGCTTTATATGAAGAGTTTAAGGGCAGAAAATTGGCTCTTCCAGGTCTTTCCTTGAATGACAGCTGCCACCCTGTAGGATCAGGCCTATGATAGCCAAGTAGGTTTGTGCCAAGTACATAAGGCGCAGGGCAATTAATTTCTTCTAACTGTGGCATCTCATCCCCCAGCAAGGCCCAGGTGAATCTGACAGTCTCCCAGTGGGGTTCATTGTAGCCACAGGAAGGGGCTGTATGCACAAGGGGGAGGGTTGGGATGCTCCTCTTCCTGCTGCTGGAAGTGCTGCTGATAACCAGGACTGCTGCCTCTGTATACAGGATTATAAATTTATACAATACCATATTTGTGATTTATATTATACAAGCATACAAGCACAGGCTTCATATCATCCACTGACAAGCAACAGGAGTTAAAAACCCAATATAAATAACACACTGACCCCTTTAGAAAAATGAAGACACGCAAGTGAACCTTTTTTTTTAGAGAGGGAAGCTAAACTTCTAACAAATGTTTCTTATAGAAAAGAGAGGTCTAATTTTTAATCATAGGATTCATAACATCAAATTTAAGACAGGCTAGAGGAGATCACAGGGTAACTGTCTCCATCAGCTGGTAGCCCTTTCTTCTGCATATTACACATTTAACTTACCCACAGAAAGGATGTGTGTTATAACTACAGACGATCCTGAAGAGTAGAAGACATTTTTAGAATCTGAGGAAAAGTGGTTTTGTGATACAAGAGAGGTGATCCTGGGGTTGGGAAAGACACATGAAAATCCTGAATATACTGGTAAAGGATCTCTTTGTGCCCAGGGTCTGATTAATGTCTTCCAACAGCATTTTGGATGTATTTCAAATCTACTAGATTACATTTCCCATGATGATACGACTGATTTCACAATGGAAAGAATAAAACCAACATTTTCATGAAGCTAGCTATTTTAATGAAGTCAAGGAGAGTCATGAGTTTTAAAATGTAGTCAAGTTACTGCATATAAACACGTGTGAATTTCCAGAATAGAGCTAATGTATTCTTATATGGCTCTGTAAGAGTCCTGAATATCATATGATAAACTTAACAGAATTTATTTTCTTGTTTGAATTTTGGTCATTCCAGAAATGTTCATTATTTAGTCAAAAGATAATCCCTTAAATCTGCTACATGGTAGAAAAGAGATGTTGGAACATTTTTAAGAAAGTTACAAAAATAAGTGGAAACAGGCACTTGAATTCAGGAACAGCCAATGAGGCATTCCATAGCCTCAGTCCACAGAGTTCTGCTCATTACTGTGATACACATCGCTAGCTGGATCAAGTACAGCTTAGATTTTAGATTTTCAATGATTCTGAATAAGTGTGATGTTCTTCATTTAAAATACTGAAGTTAAATTTATGCCAGGTTCAAAAAATCTGAAATGGTCTTATGTGGAAGAAAAATGACAAAGGCAAAGGAAAGTGCAGAAGGATGAAGTCACTGGGCAGCACAGATCATATTCCACATGAAACGCCAGGAACTTTTGTTTTAAATTGTACTAACAAACAAGTAGAAATGCAAGCTAGACATGGTGAGCACATAGTCACTGGGCTAAAAGCATCACATCAAAATTACAATTCTGTCCAGATACTAAATTTAAAACAACATTAGCTTATGATTTTTAGTTCACCTTAAACATTTTAAGAAACGCCAAGCCAAGCCACAACCGTTTCCTATTAACTAATTATTTTACACTCAAGGTCCTGAATCTCACTGAATCAACAGTTTAAAACTAAACAGCCCTCACCAAAATGTCAGATTCTCAAATCTGACGTTTGACAAACATTTAACAAAGAATCCCGGCTGGGCACGGTGGCTCACGCCTGTAGTCCCAGGACTTTGGGAGGCCAAGGCGGGCGGATCACGAGGACAGGAGTTCAAGACCAGCCTGCCCAACATGGCAAAACCCCATCTCTACTAAAAATACAAAAATTAGCCGGGCATGGTGGCGGGCGCCTGTAATCCCAGCTACTCGGGAGGCTGAGGCAGGAGAATCGCTTGAAGCTGGAAAGCAGAGGTTGCAGTGAGCCGAAATTACACCACTGCACTCCAGCCTGGGTGACAAGAGTGAAACTCCGTCTCAATTAAAAAAAAAAAAAAAAAAGAATCCTTCAAAAATGAAAAGCTTCGCACTTACTAGGCTTCATGGCATTGGGAGCGTTGGCGGGCGTGTTCCCCCAGCCTGTGGTCGATGCTCCTGTATCATCCATCTCGCCCCACCCAGGACTGCTTTCATTTGGCTCACCCCAAGCGGAAGTACCATTATCTGGAGCAGGTGGTGTGCTTTTGCTCCAGACTATAAAGAAAGGAAATGTCTCTAAGAATCATGTGTTAAATGAAATGCCATAATATCCAGTGGGGTGAAGGTGGAGGGAACAGGCATGCCTATATTCTGTCGACAGAAATGTAAATAGACTCAACTTTCATGTGAGGGGCATTTGGCAATGTCACCTCTTAAAAAAATCTGATGCACATTAAACTTCTGACCCAGTAACTCCACTGCCAGGAACTTTCTTTTCTTTTTCTTTTTTTTTTTTTTTGAGACAGAGTCTCGCTCTGTCACCGAGGCTAGAGTGCAGTGGCGTGGTCATGGCTCATAGCAACCTCCACCTCCCAGGTTCAAGCGATTCTCCTGCCTCAGCGTCCCGAGTAGCTGGGATTACAGGCGCACGCCACCATACCCAGCTAATTTTTGTATTTTTTTTTTTTTTTAAAGTAGAGACATGGTTTCACCATGTTGGCCAGGCTGGCCTCAAATTCCTGACCTCATGATCTGCCTGGCTTGGCCTCCCAAAGTGCTGGGATTACAGGCATGAGCCACCATGCCCAGCCTGCCAGAAAATCATACTATATATACACTTGTAAAAATAGGTGAAATTACATGTATAACAATACTCACTGCATCACTGATAGAAAAAATGTGGAAACAACCTAAATATCCACCACAAGCGGACTGGTTAGACCAACTGTGGGTCACCCGTAAAAGAAATACTGGGTAAAGGCCGGGTGCAGTTGCTCATGCCTGTAATCCCAGCACTCTGGGAGGCTGAGGCGGGTAGATCGCCTGAGGTCAGGAGTTCAAGACCAGTCTGACCAACATGGCGAAACCCCGTCTCTACCAAAAAATACAAAAATTAGCTGGGCTTGGTGGCGCATGCCTGTAATCCCAGCTACTTGGGAGGCTGAGAAGGAGGCTCACTTGAACCCAGGAGGTGAAGGTTGCAGTGAGCTGAGACTGTGCCACTGCACTCCAGCCTGGGAGACAGAGTGAGACTCCATCTCAAAAAACAGAAATACTGTAGATGAAGCAATTAAACAGCAGACTATGTGCTAAAATTGAAAGCTATAAGTATAACGAGAAAAGCAAGGTGAAGAACAGTATACAAAGTACAATCCCTTCTCTGTAAAAGTTCTGAATGAGACACAAACTTCTAAGAGATTACCTATGGGAAGAGACCCTAGGGGTTAAGATTCTTTTATTGATTATCTTTTGCTTTTCCACACAGTTTGAAGGTTTTTGCTATGTGGATAAAGTGTTTTAAAATTTTAGCAGGTTTTATTCTGGATGGGGAGCTAGTGAGAAATCTTCATTTCCTTCCTCATTCTTTTCAATACTTGAAAAAAGAATCAGTTAAAAGTAATCATTTTTCTAAGTGGCCACAAATGGATTAGCTGAACACTAGAGGTGTACTCTGAGAAAACTGATTCTTGACTGGGAGCGGTGGTCATGCCTGTAATCCCAGCACTTTGGGAGGCTGAGGCAGGCGGATCACCTGAGGTCAGGAGTTTGAGACCAGCCTGGCCAACATGATGAAATTCTGTCTCTACTAAAAATACAAACATTAGCTGGGCATGGCGGCAGGCATGAGAATCACTTGAACTTGGGAGGCGGAGGTTATAGTGAGTCGAAATCGTGCCACTGTACTCCAGCCTGGGCAACATAGCGAGATTCTGTCTCGAAAAAAGAAAAAAAAAAGAAAACTGATTGTTAATATTATGATTAACTAAAAAAAGACTAAAAGGTGCATCCCCCTTAATTTGCTGAACTATATGCTTTATAGGGACATTCAAGTTGACAATGACAAACTAAGAATGGCATTACCATTGCTACTTTTACCAAGTATGATGTTTCCTATTCAAATAGTGATGGAAGAAAGTTTAATTCTGGGCAACTGATTATCTTAACAATCTCTCTCTCTCCCTCTTTTTTTTTTTTTTTTGAGACGGAGTCTGGCTCTGTCGCCCAGGCTGGAGTGCAGTGGCCGGATCTCACTGCAAGCTCCGCCTCCTGGGTTCACGCCATTCTCCTGCCTCAGCCTCCCGAGTAGCTGGGACTACAGGCGCCCGCCACCTCGCCCAGCTAGTTTTTTGTATTTTTTAGTAGAGACGGGGTTTCACCGTGTTAGCCAGGATGGTTTCGATCTCCTGACCTCGTGATCCACCCGTCTCAGCCTCCCAAAGTGCTGGGATTACAGGCTTGAGCCACCGCGCCCGGCCTGTTTTTTTTTTTTTTTTTGCGACAGGGTCTCACTCTGTCACCCAAGCTGGGGTGCAGTAGTGAGATCACAGCTCCCTACAGCCTCCCATCTCCAGGGCTTAGGCGATCCTCTCACCTCGGTCTCTAGAGTAGGTGGGACTATAGGCACATGCACCACACCCGTCTAATTTTTAAAAAATATTTTTGCGGAGACTGAAGTCTCTCTAGGTTGCCCAGGCTGTTCTCAAACTCCTGGGTTCAAGGGATCCTCCTGCCCCAGTCTCCCATAGTGCTGGGATTACAGGTGTGAGCCATCTCACTAGGCCTGAGGTAACAATAACAATCTCTTATACAAAGTACTCCCATTCCAGAGGTAATCACTAAAAATCATCTGGAAAGAGACAGAAACCTTCCAGATACCAGCTTTGCTTCAGCATCATGATGGCCTCTGGAAAAACACAGGATATTTCCCTTTGCTGGGGAAACAGAAGCAGAGATGTGTCCACGGGTAGAACCAGAATGGAAATCAGGTCTATTTCTGCTACTACTTTAATTCTTTATTTTAAAATCTAGAACATAGTTTGTTTGGCAAGATATGTCTTTTGGATTCTGCAGACCAATACAATTACAGAAAAATAATTTTGGGGACTAACACAGGGTTGTCATCTTTTCCTTTTGCCAAGAAAGAACATTAAAATGTACTACCAGCATCTGCCATCACTAGCATTTTATAAAAAGAGGTTCTGTCAGCAACAGAGTAGGAACTGTAGGAGAGCGTCTCAGAACAAAACTAAATTGAATAAATTCACCTAATAAAAATGCCTTGGTCTAGGATTTCTTTTCTTCATCAAAAGCTGCAAGAAAAAGCCACTGCTTACCTGATGCCGATTTACCGGTCATTGGGGTGGGCAGGTTTGGTTCTCGAGGTGCCGGGCCCCCTTGGGAATTCTTATCCCACAGATTCACATTCTTGTAGTTGTAACTGTTAGGGTCTCCCCATGCTGAAGTGCCATCATCAATGTCCATTTTCCGACTAATTGACTGTGGGGATGGCTCTTCCCAACCACTGGGTTCCTCATCCTTAGGGGTTGCAGGCTGTGGCCCGCTGCTCCAGCTGGAACTGGAAGGTCGAACGTTGCCTGGAGGTGGTGGGGGAGGGCCTCCCCACGAACCAGAAGCCTCTGGTTGTGGTGGCGGTGGCTGCTGTGGGGGCTGCTGCTGTTGGTGTTGTTTATTCCAGGAATTGGGCTGTCGGCCTGTCTCATTCCATGCTGGGGATCTTTTGCAATCCTCCCACCCACCTTTTGAAGCTAGGCTTGCATTGCCACCATTACCCCAGGTTCCGATTTCATTCTGCCCTCCTTCACCCCACCCAGACACAGGTTTACTTGCAGAACTTTCCCAACTGCTGTTTTTCGTCTGATCGACTTCCTCTCCCCAACCGTTCTTCCCAGAAGACCATCCTTGATTGGGCTGGCGTCCACCTCCCCACCCCTGATCCTTGCTGGGATTCTCATTCCAAGAGGAAGGTGTCTTTTCATCAGGCCGTCCTCCTCCCCAGTTGGAAGAGTTGTTGTTCTTGTAGTCATTCCAGCCTCCTGTGTTCTTGGGGTCTTTCCACTCTGTAGAGGCTGAGAGCTCCCCCCATCCAGACTTCATTTGATTGCTTTGGCTGGGTGCATCTCCCCAGCCCCCTGAGTTCTTGGTCTGTGTGGCAGCGCTCTCCCACCCCTCAGTTCCTTTGTCAGATTTCCCCTCAGGCCTTGGCACCTCTTCAATGTCCCACACTGTGTCCTGCTTAATTTGAGTTTGGCCCCAGCCAGTGTTTGAGAGCACCCTGGGGTCCAAATCAGTTCGGCTCAAAAGAGTCTGCAAGACAGCCTGACAATCAGGATGTGTGGGCCTGTACGACCGACGGCCAGAGTTATGACTGTCGCTACTTCCTGCTTTGTGGTTGCTTCCAGTGCTTTGACCTCCAACTTCACTTCCTGTGGAGCTGGAAGATCTTCCCCAACAGGGAGCCTGGGCATTGCCTTGGTTTTCAGGGAGGGGGTGGCCCTTTTGATTGTCCCATGCTCCAGTGCTAGAATTTGGTTGGTTTGGACCACTCCATTCTCCAATTTTCAACTCATCAGACCCAGTCGGCTGTTTCCATTCTCCCTGAGAGACCCCAGATGTCATTTTGTTCCCTTCACCCCATTTGTTGTCATTAGAGTCCTGGGGGCCAAAGTTCCAGGACCCACCCGTAGACCTGTTATTGTTGTCCCAAGAGTCATTTTTTGACCCAGCTGATTTCTGAACAGAAGCTCCTTTCCAGGAGTCCTCTCTCTCTTTTCCATTGTTCCCATTGTTTCCAGAATTGCTTTGTCCAGAGACTGTGTCAGTTCCAGAAGGCCCCCTAGCTGCACCCCAAGATCCAACACTCCCAGTCTTTCGATCTCCAGTGCTTTGTGAAGGGGCATCAGTGCTCCTGGAGGTGTTCCCCAAGCCCATTCCAAAGGGCATTCCCTTATTCTCCATGGGGTTTGGTGAACTTAAGTTCAAGGAGTTAGTGTTTCCATTTTTTGGTCCATCAGTGTTATGAATTTGAGCCTGTTCTCTGCCAGAGACAACAAAATTAACACCCGCATTTTCCATCTTTGACTGCTGTTCCCTGGATGTCTGACCTACTGTGCTAACCTGTGCACTGGAATTACTATTCTCTGCTTCCAATGCCCCTTTCCTAGAAGTTCCTTCTTGGACCAGTGCTGGCCAGGCAGATGGGTTGCTATTTGGGTTAAAGTTGCTGAAGCCAGAGCCAGGTCCAATTCTTTCCTGACCACTCACATTCCTCCAATTTCCTAGTCCATTGTTGTTCTCTGTAGTTGAGTTGGAAGATTGAACAGATTTAGCCTTAGGGTCAGATTTCCAGACCCCAAGATTACATTCGTTCCCAGAACTTGCAGACTGGCACTGGCTCCCTTTTCCTTTGTTACTAGTGGTGCTTCCTGGCAGAGTGCTCTTCTCAGAGCCAGGGTTCGAGGCACTGTTGTTATCGGTGGTGTTTTCGGAAGAAGATTCAGTGTCTTTGCTGGCAATACAAGGCCACTCTTCCATGTCAGACCCGTCTACAATCACCTTGTCCCAGATGTGAATTGGGTTGGGGGAGGTGCCGTTGTTGGAGGAGGCTCCCGAGCCCCAAGTGGAATTTGCATAATTTGAAGCAGCAGCACCTCCAAGGGTTGAGTCTGGGGAAGAGATCATCTTATTAATCACAGCTTCACATGCATTCATTACCCATTAATCCCTCAAAGGGGCTCTCCTTTGAGCTCTGCCCTTAGGAGAGCTAATCACATGCCAGTTTCTCTCAATCCAGTTGCTTGTATCACAACTGTCTTAGTCATCTCTTCTTTTTCATTTGCCTTGTGTTATACCAGCTACGTCTCACTTCATCTCTCTCAAAACTACACCCTTTGCCGTTCCTGTTGACAGAGAAGGGCCTTCTTGTATTTTGGGACAAGGCAGTAGCAATGACACTCTAAACCTGCTCTGTATCTCCAGTCCACTCTAAACACCCCTGGCTGGAGCAATCTTTCTAAAGCACACCTTCGATTATATCACTGCTGTATGGAGAACCTTCAACAGTTCCTTAGTGCACAAGAATAAAGTTGAATTCCTTGGCCTCGAATGTCATCAAGATGCTCCATGACCTGGGACCAACCAGCTTTTCTAGTCTTATCTTCTCCTGCTTCCTATGTAGATGTTAATATTCCACACTACTTGACATTCCACAACTCATGCCTTCTCACTCTGGCACCATTCCACGTTGGCACCTACTGTGTTTTCCTGCTGAATTCACACAGTGAAATTTACTCATCCTTCTGGGCCCAATTCAAGTGTCATTTCATCTACCAAGCTGTTTTCAAGCTCATCACCTGAAAATAATCTTTCCCTGTCTAGAGCCATTTTGCTCAGCACTGCGGCACCATGTTCACAACTTTCCTTCCCCATGTTAGCATCTTTGAGGCAGAGACTCTAACTTGCTAACGTTAGAATTCCACGCAGCAGCCGGCACAATGCTGCTGAGTAAGCATCTGCTGAATGATGGATGCCCGCTGAGCCACTGAGCTCGGTGCCCGGGGTTGGGGGGGTGTCACACGAGTATGAATTAGGCAGAGTTCACAACCCCAAGGAACTTAATCTGATAAATGAGGCTGGCTCACCATATATTTTGGTGGAATTTACCATATTTGGTGGGAAAAAATGTTTTTAATGAGATCATTTCCTCTCAATTTACTTTGGCTTCTTTAACCAGGCAGCTTTTAATCAATTTGAAGTTGCAAAGTACTATACAGAGGTATAGAAAAATAAAAAGCATAGAATCCCAAACTCTTGAGATTTAGGGGCCTCCTTGGTTTTAATAATGTGCACTCTGACTTACACTGGCCCCATGTCTCCACCAAGGCCTGGCTACACTGGGCTGCAGAAACTCCGCCCAACAGGGCCCGCCCCCTCACATGCTTCCTTTTGCAGCTGGTTAGGAGAGGCCAGGAAGGAAAGGCCATGGGTAGGGCTTATCTCTGCAGGAAGTCTGTGTCACCAGGAGGTTTCTTTCCATCCTTACTCTGCACACAACAAGGTGGTGACCGAATTTTCTAGGCAATTATTTGTTCAAACTCAGAACTCCAATAAAGCATCCTACTGGTGACAACCATCAATCAATTCATTGTCTTTGCCAATGCTTAATGGTATTCAAGCTCTGGATTTTAATATCACCCCAAAAGACATTTTAAGTTGAAATCTGTTAATAAACTTTAAAAGATATTTAGAAATTCTTAGCTGACAGTTGACTTAGTATTCATCTGTTAAAAACTCTCAAAACGTCTAGTAGAACCCTTCAGCTAAATCTCTCTTATTTCTACATACAGTTTTTAACAAAGCTCAAAATTCAGGGCCCTCAAAAGAAATACTGATTTTAAAAATCTAATTAAAAAGCTATAGAATAGTATTATTTTAGAATCCTCCCAAGATTCTATATTGCAATGTAGCAAATCATTTTCTCTATCCTCCTAGCATTCTGGAAACATAACACAGGCATCTAAAGATTCGCCTTCACACAAGCCCCATGTCCAATTATGCCCTGAACACATATGACAGTGGAACTGTGGAGGTTCAAATTTATAACACTCTGGTCTGAGAAGGAAAAAAAGGCCCCCAAAATAATGAGCATCAACAGCTAAAACAGCCCTCATGCCAAGAGCACACACTTATGGAACACTAACCCTCAGTTCCAAGAATCACCAATACACATCACATACTAGGATCCTCTCTCATCTTTTGACTAATCCCAGTGGTTTATACAATTAATGGCTCTCCTGGACTTTACATCAAGCAATGCAAACAAAGTGCTCTCTGTCTGTCAAGCTGCCATGCATTCGATTCACAGCGTGCCTTACCTGGCGCAGTCCCACTCTCACTCTGCAGCAGCGCTCCTGTCACTTGTGCGTTGTTTGGGTTTGCTCCAGGTGCTGTGCAGGGAGGAGGCCCTGCCCCACCCCCAAGGAGCATGCAGGACGGTGGAGGGGGCTGCCCACGTTTTAGTAACACTTTGTGGTCCTGCTGGCAACGGAATCGCGGCGGCACCTCCCGAGGCATGTAGCGGGCGGCGCTTGGCGGTTGTCCGTTCGGCACTGCCACCCTTTTGGCATTGTTGCCACCATTGACTGGTGGCGATGGAGAGCTGCCAATTGGGCTGGCGGCCGTTGGTTGGCTTAAACTTGGTTTCGTCACTTCGGGCACTAAAAGAGAGGGGTCGGGAAACAGTCTTTGAAATACATCAAATACATTTTTTCTAAAACTTTAAATAATTTTATTATTTTATTGAGAGATGGAGTCTTGCCATGTTGCCCACGCTGGTCTCGAACTTGGGCTCAAGGGATTCTCCCACCTTGGCTTTCCAAAGTGAGGCACTGCGCCTGGCCAAGATTATTATTATTTTTTATTATTTTATTATTATTTTTTTGAGATGGAGTCTCACATTGTCGCTTAGGCCGGAGTGCAGCGGTGCAACCTCCGCTCACTGCAACCTCTGCCTCCCGGTTCAAGCGATTCTCCTGCCTCAGCCTCCCAAGTAGCTCAGATTACAGGCGCCCGCCATCACAACCAGCTAATTTTTTGTATTTTTAGTAGAGACGAGGTTTCACTATGTTGGCCAAGCTGGTCTCGAACTCCTGACCTCGTGATCCGCCTGCCTTTGTCTCCCAAAGTATTGGGATTACAGGCATGAGCCACTGCGCCCAGCCTATTTTTTTTTTTTTGAGATGGGGTCTTGCTGTATAACGCGGGCTGGAGTGCGGTGATCTTGACTTGATGCAACTTCCACCTCTAGGGCTCAAGTGATCCTCCCACCTCAGCCTCCTAAGTAGCTGCGACTATAGGCATACACCACCATGCCAACTAATTTTTTTTTCCTCTTCTAGAGACAGGGTTTCGCCATGTTGCCTACCTAGGCTGGTCTCAAACTCCTGAACTCAAGCTATTTACCCACCTCGGCCTCCCAAAGTGCTGGGATTACAGGTGTGAGCCACCACACCCAGACCCTGGCTAAGATTATTTGTAAGAAAGCTTACATGGTACCAATTCTAACAAAGTAACTTCTCCTTTCACTCTACTCTCAAGGGACATAGTTATTCCAAATTCTCCACCATCTCTTCACAGTTTACTGAAGGCAGGATGAAGGTGGCGGCTGATAGTGACATGAATTTAAACACAGCAAGATCATGGAATACATTCCATCAATTAAGGGGGAGATGGAAGCGATCATCATTCACTCCCCTAAATCAACAGTGGAATTAATGTCCTGAAGTGCTGCCTAGAAGAGTTAAATGTCCATGGCAAAGTCCTTGGGAAAGTGTTCAAGCCTCAGTCCAAGGGTCCCTTCCTTTCATCCACATTCTTTTTTTTTTTTTTTTTTGAGACAGAGTCTCGTTCTGTCACCCAGGCTGGAGTGCAGTGGCGCGATCTCGGCTCACTGCAAGCTCTGCCGCCTCCCGGGTTTGCAACATTCTCCTGCCTCAGCCTCCCAAGACGCTGGGACTACAGGCGCCTGCCACGACACCCAGCTAATTTTCTTTGTATTTTTAGTAGAGATGGGGTTTCACCGTGTTCGCCAGGATGGTCTCAATCTCCTGACCTCGTGATCCGCCCGCCTCGGCCTCCCACAGTGCTGGGATTACAGGCGCGAGCCACTGCGCCCGGCCCTCATCCACCTTCTTAAAAGATCTACCCCTGAGTAACCTTTCTTGAAGTCCCCGGCCTAGGTGAGCTAAACATTCTTCCTAAGTGTTCCTGGAACACATCATCCCGCTCTCTCTACCATGAAAATTCTCCATTCAAAAGTCCATCTATCTCTACCATAGAAATTCTCCATTTACAAGTCCCATCTCTCTCTGCCACAGAAATTCTCCACTTACAAGTCCTTCTCCCTCACCAGGCCATGACTACCTGAGGGCAAGGACCCATCTTTCATCTTTTCTTTTTTCCTTAGGGCATGGCACAGAGTAGACTCTTACAAGAAACTCCAGGTCTGGAAAATCACAAACTCAGCTTGGTTTTGGTTTCTACAGCTACCTGGACTCAAAGACTTGCACCGCTCTCTGTGTAAATACTAGAAATGTTGCAAATCTTTTTGCTTTTGTTAAATGTAAATACTTTTTCTATTTACTTTAAATAATTCGATTTTTTGACCTCAATTTTAAAAATGGCCCGCATAGTGTGGGAATGTCGGGGCAACCATGAAGCTGCACTCTGCCGGATCCTCTGGCTCTCCCCCTTGAACCTACAGAGAAGGCTCTCTGAGATCTGTACCTCCCTCACTACATGCTGCCAAAAGATCACTACCCTCTCCATAAACTTTGCCTGGCAAATAGAGGCTGGAAGTCGTACAGAAATAATCATCAAGCCTGATAGTTCAGATGATTCTGAGGCCCAAGTCCCTGCCTCCCAGGGTAACGTCACGGCCAGCTCTGTGGGTAACACTGCTTTGACTGCTAAAATGATGCTGGGCCAGCATGTCGCTTGTTGAACTGGCTCCTTTATGAGAGAGATACAGCATCATCAGAAATCAAGCGGCCCAATCTATGCCACTACCAGACATTAACACACTGTGGGTGACAGGAAGTGCCTGCAGCAACTTCCAGGCCACCCCATGTCTAACTTCAGCCAATCACAAGGCAGCACTAGGCATCCCAGTAAGGGGAGGGGGAGTGGAGGTCAGAGGATCCAAAATCTGATAAGCAGAATAAATGTGTGACTTAAGAAAACAAAACTGGCCGGGCGCGGTGGCTCACGCCTGTAATCCCAGCACTTTGGGAGGCCGAGGCGGGCGGATCACAAGGTCAGGAGATCGAGACCACGGTGAAACCCCGTCTCTACTAAAAATAGAAAAAATTAGCTGGGCGCAGTGGCGGGCGCCTGTAGTCCCAGCTACTCGGGAGGCTGAGGCAGGAGAATGGCGTGAACCCGGGAGGCGGAGCTTGCAGTGAGCCGAGATTGCGCCACTGCACTCCAGCCTGGGCGACAGAGCAAGACCCTGTCAAAAAAAAAAAAAAAAAGAAAACAAAACTAGTCGGCTGGGCGCAGTGGCTCACGCCTGTAATCCCAGCACTTTGGGAGGTCAAGGCAGGTGGATCACAAGGTCAGGAGTTCGAGACCATCCTGGCCAACATCGTGAAACCTCACCTCTACTAAAAATACAAAAGTAAGCTGGGTGTGGTGGCGTGCACCTATAGTCCCAGCTACTCAGGAGGCTGAGGAGGAGAATTGCTTGAACCTGGGAGGCGGGGCTTGCAGTGAGCTGAGATCCCGTCACTGCACTCCAGTCTGGGCCACAGAGCAAGACTCCGTCTCAAAAAAAAAAAAAAAAAAAAAAGAAAGAAAGGAAGAAAATAAAATTAGTCATTATCTAATAGATGGATACATAACTGGTAAATGAACGGATGAAGATTATTTAATATTAATTTTCTATCTGTTATTGGCGGATTCTATAGCATAAGGCATTCGCAATCCCCTTTTATCTTATTACGAGAATAAACAAGAAGTTGGCAGAGACTGGAGAAATTCATCCAAACTGGTTTTTAGGACAGAAAGAGCTGCTTCTGTAAGGCTGCCCTTCTATAAAAGGTCTAGAATCTTCATTATAAGTTAACCAGGTCTACTACATACTTTTAACTCAATCCAGAAAAACAAGACAAGACACAGTGACCTGCAGGACTGAGTGCTGAACTTCAGTTTGACTCACTTTAAAACATTCACAGCACTGTTTCAACCGAAGAAATTTGGTAGGTATCACGTATCATGTAAGATTCCTTGCAAAAGTTCCTCAGGGCACTTTCCCACCACATCAGAGACAGAATGGATTGTAAATGATAAAGTCATTATAAAATGGGAACACACCTCAACCACTTTCCTCCCAATACAGTGTGCTCTGGCCCAGGAGATTAGTCATTCAAACTCCAGGACATCACGTACAAACAGGTCAAAGTATAAAAAGAAGAAAAACAAAACCTCCAGGAAACAGTCAGAAAACGCCCAAGACACCACCTTAGTCATAGCAAACTGTGTTTCAGCACCTGAGTGAATTCTTATTCTATTTTTAAAATCACACCTTTCTATGAATCCAAGAATGTTAAGCCTTTAAAGGCCAACCAGAATTGCCAGCACTAATTGGAGAGCAATGCAGCTTTTTAGGCGGGAGGTCTGATCCAAATTGACTCCCAAAGTCCAAACTTAAGACATCAGAATCCATGTGCGTCACCCATCATCATGGTCCAGAATGTTAGATAAAGGGCAAGAGAAGCTATTGTTAAGTCTGAATATGTTACTTTTCAGGCTGTCTCTTTTCTGAATCTTAAGGATTTGTAAGTTGTGCAAGTTTTTCTAAAGACGAGCTGTTCAAAGTAAGGGCATAGTTTCTTAATTTCCAGAGGAAAGGTTTGTGGCTTAAACATGATCTCGGTACTATAGGGAAATAAAAACATTGTGGGGGGAAGCTATGTATCCTATTTTCTAATTTCCATTCATTTACTTTTTTTTTTTTTTTTGAGACAGAGTCTTGCTCTGTTGCCCAGGGTAGAGTGGAGTGGCAGGATCTCAGTTTGCTGCAACCTCCACCTCATGAGGCAGGAGAATCGCTTGGGTTCAAGTGATTCCCCTGCCTCAGCCTCCGGAGTAGCTGGGATCACAGGCGTATACCACCACGCCTGGCTAATTTTTGTATGTTTAACAGAGACGGGGTTTCACTATGTTGGCCAGGCTGGTCTCGAACTCCTGACCTCAGGTGATCTGCCTGCCTTGGCCTCCCAAAGTGCTGGGATGACAAGCGTGAGCCACCGAACCTGGCTGTTCATTCATTTACTTTTTTTTTTTTTTTTGAGACGGAGTTTCACTCTTGTTGCCCAGACTGGAGTACAGGAGTACAGTGGCGTGATCTCGGCTCTCTGTAACCTCTGCCTCCCAGGATCAAGCAATTCTCCTGCCTCAGTCTCCCAAGTAGCTGGGATTACAGGTGTGTGTCACCATACCTGGCTAATTTTGTATTCTTAGTAGAGACGGGGTTTCACCATGTTTGCCAGGCTGGCCTCAAACTACTGACCTCAGGTGATCCACCTGCCTCAGCCTCCCAAAGTGCTGGGATAAAAGGCATGAGCTACCATGCCTGTCCCTCCATTTACTTTTAAGAACCATTGAATTGAATCTCCTCCCCTTCCTCATCCCATTTATCGTATTCCATTCTTGCATC